GAGAGAGAGAGAGAGAGAGAGAGAGAGAGAGAGAGAGAGAGAGAGAGAGAGAGAGAGAGAGAGAGAGAGAGAGAGAGAGAGAAACCAGTTGGGGGTCGGTCTATATAACGTGATCGTGTATGAATCCCTCAAGTGAAGATAACGGTTAACCGCTGAGTATCACGGAAAGTCCATCAAAGGATTGCAGGTCACGCTGTAGCCGAACTCTCTATCGTGGACTTTCAAGTAGGTGTCTGTTTCAAAATCTTTTCTCACCACCGGAAAACCCAATGGGAGATCGGACAATGCAGGGCTCCGGGGGGTTTGATAATACGAACTTCGACCGTTCAGATTCACCAACGATCAAGAAATGAACATAACGCTTTCAAATTCGAGAGAAAGCCACTCAATTGGAAAAAGCGGTAATTAGGTGTCATTTGCCGCTCACTTCAAAAACCCCATTCAGGGGGACGAGACTCTATCTCGCTGTGATGGGCGGAAGGACCAATCTGGACTGTGCCAATAGATCCAGTAGGTTGGACTCCGTTGGAGACATGAAGGGGTAGTTCATCATAGGTCCGGGCTGGATAAGTGATTCTAGCTAGTTTAACGTTCGTTAAGTGTGGAACACAGACTTATAGCTCTGAGGATAGTCAGACGGTCCTACCCGGGCTTATTCATTAGGTCGGGGCTCGAAAGGAGCCCCCTACACCAGGTATGGAGTCTGACACCATGGGAGTTCATGTAGATACGGGAGAGTATCACCCGTCGTCTGGTCGAACTCTTCACGAGCTCAAGGAGCGCATCCGACAGAACGCGCCTCTCAGGTGCGTAGAGCAACCCGGCGATGAAGAGCCCGAGGTGATGGGTGGACCGATCGTCGCCGAGCCAGATAGAGAGATGTCGATGGTACGGATGAAGAACATGACGGAGCTTCCCAGCTTTCAAGGAGAGATGGGCGATTGGCGCTCGCCTACCTACGAGCGGAGAGACGCTAGACGGCATCGATGCAGAGATGACTGGAGAGATCAGTGCGTCAGGGAGCAGGCCTTGAGAGATAGAGATAGGCCTCCCGAGAGGAGCACGCTGCCTCAACGGATCTTCGATCCGCAGACGGGTGAGTCATATACGCTCCCTTACGAAAGGAGAGATCAATTCATCATCTCTCACCAACCTACGGAGGTAGATACCAGGTCACCCATTACGGTCTCACAGAGTACCTTGAGAAGTCGGAGCTACACGCGTACTGCAGCCAGTGGTCCGAGGATGAGATCATAGACAATTTTCTATTTAACTCGAACCCGAGCCTGAACCAGGTAATCAAAGAAGCTCGACCAAAGGACAGAAAGTGGACTACCTATAAGGCTAATCTTTATGAACCCTTCAAGCTAGAGGACATCAGATACTCGAGTAGGGATCTGGAGTCAATGACCCAAGGCGAGGATGAGAGTGTCCAAGCATTTGGGAAATGGTTCCAAAAGATATCGGATGCTCTGATCGCAAAGAGCAAGCTGTCGGAAGTCGACTGATGCACGATTTTCATTTGTCGACTGCCCAGAGGGAAACAAAAGGGGATACTCAGGGAACTCCCTCATGACAAGATAAATTTTACAACGGTTCTCAGGTTGGCTATGAAAGCCGAAGCAGATGACTATAAGGCTTTAGTTTGGAGAGGAATGCGACGACGCGACATCTCTCTTTATCGAGAGTACAATACAGAGAAGTGTCCTGACTTCAATGATCAACCTTGGGCGGATCGACGATATTTTTTGGATGGAGTCCGACTGCACCGACATACAGAGACTGTGGTGGATGAGATGAGGGAGATGAGGGAGATGATCGAGGTTTTGACTCGACAAGTCGCCACGATAGAGGCGAAGACGAAGACTGTTGGATATCAGGCGAGGAACGGTTCATCGAACTCGCTGAGGTACGATCGAGTTAGGACTGGTTCAGCGTACTCGCTGAGGTGGGATAATCGCGACCCAGGACCGTGGAGAGACACGGACGATAGAAACTCTTGGACACTAGTAGATTATCGAGCGAGGGAGCAGCGATATCATATACGTCGGGACAATCCCCCTAGGTACCTGGACAAGGATCGAGATCGACAGGTTGCCTATTATAGAGACTATACGAGAGATAGGGACAACGAGTATCGAGGACACGGTCAAGTGGAGACCTATCCTCACAGCCCGAGATATGATCCAGGTCGCGAAGACCTCCGGGATGCAGAGGAGTCTCCTAAGAGTCTAGATAGATATTATCATGCGACGGTGAGAGACCAACGCGACAATCCCCGCGAGCGACACGAGAGGAGACATGTTGATCGGGACCATCGTGATGACGCCAGAGGACAACGAGAGACTGGCCCGTGTACTCAAGACGTAAGGGTATCAGGCGGACACGAAGGATGCATACGTGTAGAGACTCAACCTTCTTCTCCTCGTAACACATGCGTCTATTGTTGTTCGGATGACCATATCGGGAGAGATTGCCCCGATCTTCATAAGGCAATAGACTATGGCGTAGTGGGACTTAAGGACCGATGGTCCGTCAAGAGAACCGACGATCTGAGAGATGCATCCATACTTTCTTCGAAGGAGGGGGACTTGGAGGTCATAGAAGCGTCGTCGGACAAGGTAAAGGTGACCGTAAAGAGTCGGAGTGTCGAGATTTTCTTACCATCAGGAGGCAAGACGCGTATAGCGCCCAACCACGTCGCCTCTACCAAATCATCGTAGGCTCTTTCCTCCAAGCAGAGGGTTGACCCAATGGATCGAGAGGGAGGGAAAGAAGAACGAAGCTTACTACGACCACGAAAACGAGGCCCTGAGCGAGTTACTAATATGGCAACGTCTTTGAGGTCAGCGCCTAGTCAGCGTATGCGATGCCCCGTACAGGAACCGTCCAAGCGAATACGAGATGAACCTCTATATATCGTCGGTGCCATAAGAGTGCCTATCACAAACACGATCCCTATCGATCCCGAACGGGGGAAACCGATACCTCTGACCGATGAGATCTTCGCTGATTCTACGCCATTAGCAGACAAGCCTTTTGCCAACGCCATGTCAGTCGCACGCCAGTCACGGCTTTGGGCGCTAGAGCGGACTGCACCGCGCCCGTTTTTCTTAATGCCTGAGAGAACGTGCCTCAAGACATATTTTACGTTCCTAGGAGTGGTATCATGGGGCCTCTGCTTAACAATGAGGTGGTTCTTCATAGAGCAGAGGATGACGCTAGGGATTGTCGAATGATTGCAGTTTAGGAGAAGAGAAGTGCCCTGCGAGTTAGTGACACACTTTTGGATAGATAGGTGAGGCCTCGATGGGGGCGTCGAGAAAAGGTCCGGGCTTACTTGTCGGGCGACCGCACCCCAGTTGGCCACCCGACATACACAGGATTGAGCCTTGGGCTAAGCGCCTAGGGGAGAATTGACTTGCGTTTCCATCAGACCGGTGGGGAAAAATTAGGGGTAGGGAAGGGACCCCTAAGAACCCTCCCGTCAATTATTAGAACTGACGGTAGAAATCGACACGATGAACAGCCGCCCCAACCGCCACTAGCGCGTACCCTTTTTTCTTTTGATCTGAGGCCGTTCCTATTGCGGTCGGCTGTGGTGACGAGATACAGTTTTAGGGCTCGACGCGCCCCTTTTCACACTAAGCACTTGACGAGGGAAAGAACCCTCAATTTTTATTAATTCTAACAACTAAATTAAAATTAAGAAGAAGGATTAAAAACAATAAAAAGGAAGAGAACAAATAAAAATCTATTAATTAATTAAATTTCTTTGGAATTTACTCTTAATAAGATTGTCCTCAAATTTTGCCAATTCTTATAATAGTATTAAAAATGAGGAAAAAAGTTAAAAAGAAAAAAAAGAAAAGAAAACAGATGATTATTCATTATTTGATTAATTTTGACAGATTTCATTCTTGATGAAATTTTGACTGAAAAACATTTATTTATCTTGTGTCCGTCGATCTGTACGAGTCCCTTTGATTTCCCGGATCCATGTGATTACTACCCGCGCGATGGCCACGCGTTATTGAGTGAGCGGGTCCGATTTTCGGTTGCGGCAACAGGTCCTACTCTGGTACATGTCAGGCAGAGTTATTGTTCTGAGTGCGGACGCCGGTCTGGAATGGGTATGACTCTTTGGTTCAGAACAGGTACGGTACAGTCTTTTATCGGTGCTGGCACAACACATTGGTGACACAACATGGCACCAAGCTCTGGTTCGGGACAGGTATGGTTCAGGTATTTGACGGTACTGGTATGGTGGATCTGCTGCGCGGTACGGTATTCTATTGGTTTGGAACGGCTGCTGGAACGGAACCGGCACGATATCGCTCCATTCTACGGTATTCGGCATTAAGCTGGTTCAGGCTGCGGCTATTGAGAATGGTTACTTCAGGTCAGGTATCTGGTTTGGCATTGGCATCACGCGGTTGCTGGTCTGTGACAGCCATGGTTCACGGGTTCAGGACAGGTTCGGCGTCACCGTGGTTCAGGCCACTGCAGTCCGAGATGGTTATTTCAGATTCGGTGATGATACGGTGCGGGTTGCCGCAACTCGAATGATTGTTTTAGGATCCGACACTGGTATGGTAGCGATACGGGCTGCTGCAGTTCTAAACAGCAATGTCACGGTCCCTGGTGTAAACTCCGTTTTTTTTCGTATTGCCACGGTGCAGCACTCTACAGGTCGCTGATACGAGTCATTTAAAGAGCCCACTTTTCGTTAATTCGGCTTGTGGGACTGATCTAAGTACGTGGCCCCTCACTGGCCTTGCGGCTGCATATCCTGGTGGTACCACTGGACCTACATGGGCTGCGTTGGTACCGCGACTATTCCGGGCCTGGGAACCTGGATTTCAAGGTACCTTCGGTCCGCTGGGGCCCACGATTAGGGCGGCAACTTGCATATAGCTAGACCAGCGGACGAAGAGGGGACAGGAAGATTCGGGAACGGAGGCGACCGGAGGGATCACAGCGCACGGGCAGTGAACGACGACGAGCGCAGCGAACGGGTCTGATGGACCCCGTGCTCAATCAAGGGATGTTGTTGATGGCTTGGCAGCTATGGGGGAGCAGATGACGACAACAGGACAGAGGAGATGTCTACCCCCTACATGTGGCGTCAACAGAGAAGCGATCATGGCAAGAGTTGGTTGCCCACGTCGGTTCGTGGGAGTTGGTGCCGTGGTACAATTTGCGTTGAGGAATGAGAACAGCGCGTGCCCGTACTCAAGAGTCAGCGAGCATGAGAGAGAGACTGAGTGTGAAAAAGAGAGAATGAGTATGTGTGTGAGAAAGTCGATTTCACACGGAGGCGCAGTGTCCCCCTGTGACTGCGGGGAACGCAACACCAAGGTCAATGAACCTGACCGCTGGGTAGTACCACATCCGCCAGTGTTCAACAACGCTAAGCGCCAGATCAACGAGTAGCACACACTCAGACTGACAACATAGTGGACGTGTGCAGTGGAAAGGGTGTTGATTGCAACTGCGTGCTGATTCAGCACGGCCTCTACACCGTGTGGAAAGAATCATGACCGCAACTGTATTCACATTCTGCCTCCGTGGCCCTGCTTCAATGCGAACACAATCTGTCATTGAACCCGTCCAGTCGCTTATTTATACCGGTATGAGGCATATTGCGTATTAAGCAATTAATTTATTGATAACTAATACATCCATTACTTAAATGATTAAATAAATGTTATGCATGGCAATCGCCAATTGCAGCGTAGCCAGAATTTCTGGACTGCGTTGAGTACTCAATAATAACGGGAAACTGAGAGAGATGGGGAATGGATGAGGGAGAGTGTGTGTCAGAGAAAACATTATAATTCCAGTTGCACGTACCTAGGCTGAGTGGGAGACTGGGTACATACGAGTTTGAGCCAAATTTGGCTTGAGTCCGAGAGCAAGAGAGAGAGCAGACTGAGAGAGAGAGAGAGACAGAGAGAGAGAGAGAGAGCGGACTTAGTGATGGAGAGAGAGAGAGAGAGAGAGAGAGAGAGAGAGAGAGAGAGAGAGAGAGAGAGAGAGAGAGAGAGAGAGAGAGAG